CATTTCGAAGCAGGAAGATATATACTTAAGAGACTCTAGTTTTAAAACCAGGAATAGACTCAGCAAATAGGGGTAAGCACAATAATTAATGATAATAGTTAAGTAGAATCATCATAAAGAATACGCAACTAAGGTCACAGTCTATGTCCACATCAATCAGGTCATCATTTAATCATCATTCTAATCATCATTCAATCATCATTCAATCATTATTCAATCATCATTTGTGACACTCAATCACACTGCTCTGGCGCCACGGGACCAATCGCATGCCCCGAACATGAGGGTTAATGCGTATAGCATTAACACGTCCCCGCAGCACCCTACCTCATACTGCGGCATGAAGGGAGTTGATCGCAACCAACCCATAGAGGACCGCTGACGAACTCAACGTCGGACCACAATTCGACGCACCGCTGACGCGCACAGTCGGTGGACCGTGATCCCCTTTACAAGGGGGGACTTACGACGATACATACCGTTGATGCGTACAGTCAGTGGACCGTAGCGGATCAAGCCCGACACACCGCTGAGCTAGACTCAGTCGGTGGGCAAAGATCCTCGGAGACTACAGCCCTACACACCGCTGTCCCATCACTCTGTGGATCACAGCCAGCCGTAGCCCTACACACCGCCTGATTACTCAGGTCGATGGACTACAACCTTCCTCGGCTTATTGGCCCTACACACCGCCTGGCGCGTCCAGGTCGGTGGGTCATAGCACCGAGGCCCATGTGAACCGCAGCCCATGAAGTGAATCAATTCGGCCTTTAGCCAACTTCTGAGCCTTAGCTCAGGAACAATCCATTTGGTCTTCAACCACTTCCGAACCTTTAGTCCGGGAACAATCCATTCGGCCTTCAGCCAACTTCCGAACCTCAGTCCGGGAATCACCCAATTGGTCTGTAACCAAAATGGGGGATCATGCAACACATAACACATAGGAGCACGTAATAGCATATTGAGAGGGGAACGACATATAAATAAACTTATGTGTGGTCATTCACATACTAAGAATAGTCCTAAGGGTTCATACAACTTCCACCTAGATCAACGGGTTACCAATTCCACTAGCATGCAATTCCTAAGACTCAATTAACCTACGAATGGTACCCTAAATATCAAACTAGACTCAAGCACGGCAAACGGGGTCCGTTGGAACACCATGGGGTGCGGGGAACATCAAACGGGGAAGCCAAAGATCGGGGTGGAGAACGGACCAGTGGGTAGCCGGTGGGTGGGGGTCACCCGCCGGCTGCCCGCCGGAGGGCACTGTTCCAGGCAGCGGGTTGCCGGCGGGTAGGCGGCTGCCCGGTGGCTGCCCGCTGCCGGGCGGTGTCATTCGGGCAGCGGGTAGGTGGCGGGTTCCCCTACCCCCACCTACCCCCCATTGACTCTTTTCTCATATATTCGTCCCGGGAACCTTTGTGGAACCCGAAACCATGCTTAGACACTTTTAAACGTGAATAACGACACCACGTAGGCAATTAATGGATCAAAAGCAAGAATTACGTAGGACTCATCCTATCACGACTTCTAAATATAAACAACAGCCGAACATGCGAATTCCCACCCAAATATATATCAAGAACATCCCAACACAAATTCTCAATTCAACCTAGGGCTCTAATCCCGCCCAAATCATCAAGATCATATTTTATCTTTAATATCAAGAAATATCAAGATTTGTCAAGGGTTATCACATCAATATCAAGAACCTCTTTTCAACATCAAGATCATCAAGATTATCAAGAATACACATAAATCATCTTATCAATCATCAAAAATATATCATAAATAGCAAAGAGGAATTAATCAAGACACAAGCATATAGAAGGAGGCCAAGGAAGGAGATTATAGCGAAGAAAATAGGTTTTGTTGAGACATGGGTTACCTCTTAGCCTTAATTAATTTCCTTGGCTATGAAGAGTCTTTCTTTAAGATTTCTTCTTTCTTGATTTCTCCAAAGGGAATTCATGGAACTTCTTGTGTGGTGAGAGATTAATGTGGTGTAAGGTCTAGGTGCCTCCTATGTCCCTATTTATATATTTAAGAGTCCTAATTAGGGTCTAAGTGGTATGGGTTTGCTAATTCTATTTCCTATAGGACTAAGGGATTGGTTTTATGGATAAGGGTCCATGTACTATGGTGGACCCCTCTTTAGCTAATTAATGGATTTTAATTCCCTTTTGAGGGTGAGTAGTTAATTAATTAATTTGGTTTAGGGGTCGTAACACGGGGTGTTACAATTATTATTATTATTTTCATTATTGTTACACTCTAACCCTAATCACCTGATCCTAAAAATGGTTGCGTCATATACGGTACGTCCCTATATGCTTTTATATATATATATATATATATATATATATATATATATATATATATATATATATATATATATATATATATATATATATATATATGTATGTATAAACCTGTGAGCCTATAGAACATCCTCCCTTATTCATACGTATTCGTATAAATTGTTACAGTCATATTATATATCCCCAACCCCGAACCATACACATGTACCCTAGTTACGATAATCTTATATACATCCATGAGGTTGCCCTTAGCATATCCTAACCCTGAAATATCATTCCGTACAAATTACATCACTCTTATATTTATACATACACATATCCTGAGATAGCCCTAATTCTACTTTTCCCCCTCGCATGACCTCCCTGCTACCACTCCTACCTTCCCTAAATTATTTAAAACTTTAGCCTCATCATCAGGTCATCAATTAATTTAGGATTTAGCAATCAAGGGTCTTTAACTCTAAGTTGTTTAGGTATTCTGGGCTTCTAGAGATAAAAATTATGCCTACCTAAACTCTAATTACCACCGAGATAAAACTAATTTTCCTGAGTGCTTGTGTGATTAAGTTCTGTCAAGATTTCTCAAGATAAAACCTTTAGTACTTGTGAACCTAGGCTATCTTACTCGTAATTATTAAAGAATATTTGTATGCAAATTGCATGGTTCCATTTATATGTGGAAATTTATATTTTTCATATGTATTGCATGTCAAATCACATAGCTCGCCTGTTTATGTCAAAACACACACTTACACACATTCATGTACATATACAAAGCATGCTAGACGAAAATGGTATGTTATAAGGCATCCCACTATTCATATATACAATATTATTAACGACAAGCAGTCTGCATATAAGTGCCAATACTTGTTATGTGATCACCCACCGTTATCCATAGTATGCAAAATAAAGACCCTAATTCTATTGTCTTCCCAGAATTTATTTACCCCATAAGAAGCAAGAACCTTTCCCCTAATTACTTACAATCTTTTCCTCAAAATCTAATTTTTGCTATTTGAATAATTGTTATATGATTTATGACCTTCCTGAATTTATACGACAAAAGTATGGTTATGCCACGATATTAAGTACGTGAATTTAATTGTTAATCATGCACTAGTTAAACATGTTGAATAATACATACGTTCCATAAGACTAGTTATTATTTAAGACTTGAAATAGGTTCACATGCCTTCATACTCTATGCATATGGACTTAAGAAATTGCATATTTAGCATAATTACGACTGTATACATATAGGCATGACGACTTGCAAGTTCCGCATATAACATAATAGTTAATTATCATACATATTAGGCTTGTTATTTTGTAACTGAATATTTGGTATAATCTGCTAAGCACAAAGATTAGACATAGATCCTACATATATGGCATCTAGGCTCACAACATGCTACACTAACATAATTAAACGTCTGCATCCATCCGTAAATGAGGTTCGCATGTGTTGATATATGTGCATATATACTTTATAATAATTATGTGACTATCCGAATCTACACCCGCGTGGTATTTGCCTCTCATTTAGGTACATAAATAATTATATGATCGGTACAACGTGTGATCCTATATGTTAAATCATTATAAAATAATTAAATAAAGAACATGCCACGTGTAAGACTTCTATGTTATGTATTAGTCACCTGTAAAACTTACATATTGTGTGTTGCATATTCGTGACCTCGTTATTTAGTGCATTTTGCTAGCACAATAGTTAGACTCAAACCCAGTGCATTCATATGTGTACGTGTATATATTAACGATATAATACTTTCCTTATGAACTTCTATACTAATTCGGGCTCTTTACCCCAAAATGATTTCTAAGCTTCGGGGACGAAGCATCTTGTAAGGGGGGGAGAGTGTAACACCCCGTGTTACGGCCTTTAATCTCGAATTAATTATTTAATTAATCCCGGTAATAATAATTAAAATGGATTTAATTTGGGTTAGGATTCCCTTTAATTAATTAATATGGTCCACCATGGAACATGGACCCTTATCCCCAAACCAAGCCCTTAGTCCTATAAGGAATAGAATTAGTAAACCCATACCATTCAGACCCTAATTAGGACTCCTAGATATATATATATATATATATATATATATATATATATATATATATATATATATATATATATATATATATATATATATATATATATATATATATATATATATATATATATATATATATATATATATATAAGGACAAAGGAGGCACCTAGAAGTCACACCACAATAGATATCACCACACAAGAATTCCCAAGGGACTCCCCACCACCAAGCCTAGGGAGATCAAACGGATGGAAATCTTAGGGAAGAACCTTAATAGCCAAGGGAGGATTAATTAAGGCTAAGAGGTAACCCAGGTCTCAACAAAACCTATTTTCTTCGCTATAATCTCCTTCCTTGGCCTCCTTCTATATGCTTGTGTCTTGATTAATTCCTATATGCTATTTGTGATATATTCTTGATGATTGATAAGATGATTTATGTGTATTCTTGATAATCTTGATGATCTTGATGTTGAAAAGAGGTTCTTGATATTGAAGGGATGGTTCTTGACAAATCTTGATATTTCTTGATGTTAAAGATAAATTGTGATTTTGATGATTTGGGAGGGATTAGAGCCCTAGGGTGGATTGGGAATTTGTGTTGTAATGTTCTTGATATATATTTAGGTGGGAATTCGCATGTTTGGGTGTTGATTATATTTAGAAGTCGTAATAGGATGAGTTATACGTGATTCTTGCTTTTGATCCATTAATTGCCTACGTGGTGTTGGTAATTGCGTTTGAAAGTGTCTAAAGCATGGTTTCGGGTTCCCCAAAGGATCTCGGGACGTAATTGTGATAAAAGAGTCAGTGGGGGGTAGGTGGGGGTAGGGGTACCCGCCACCTACCCGCTGCCCAAAGATCACCGCCAGGCAGCGGGCAGGCGCCGGGCAGGCGTTCGCCCGCCGGCAACCCGCTGCCCGGGAGATGATCTCCGGCGGGCAGCCGGCGGGTGACCCCCACCCACCGGCTACCCGCTGGTCCATACCCACCCCAGGTCTTTGGCTTCCCCGTGGTGTCCGAACGGACCCCGTTTGTCGTACTTGAGTTTAGTTTGATGTTTCGAGTACCATCCGTAGGATAAAAGAGTCTTAGGAATTGCATGCTAGTTGAATCGGTAACCCGTTGACCTAGGTGAAAGTTGTATGAACCCCTTAGGACTATTCTTAGTATGTGAATTATCACACGTAAGTTTATTTATATGTCTTCCCCTCCCAATGTGCTACTACGTGCTACTATGTGTTATGGGATGCATGATCCCCCATTTTTATTTAGATCAAATTGGGTGTTCCCGGGCTGCGGTTTTGAAGTTGGCTGAAGGCCGAATGGATTGTTCCTGAGCTGAGGTTCAGAAGTTGGCTAAAGGCCGAATTGATTCACTTCTTGGGCTGCGGTCCACATGGGCCTCGGTACTATGACCCGCCGACCTGGACGCGCCAGGTGGTGTGTAGGGCCAATAAGCCGAGGAAGGCTATAGTCCACCGACCTGAGTAATCAGACGGTGTGTAGGGCTACGGCTGGCTTCGATCCACCGAGTGATGGGACAGCGGTGTGTAGGGTCGGAGTTTCCGAGGATCTTCACCCACCGACTGAGCCCCTCATCAGTGTGTAGGGCTTGATCCGCTACGATCCACTGATTGTACGCATCAATGGTGTCTAGGGCCGTATGTCCCCCCTTGTAAAGGGGATCACGGTCCACCAACTGTGCGCGTCAGCGGTGTGTAGGATTGTGGTCCGACGTTGAGTTCGTCAGCAGTCCTCTATGGGTTGGTTGCGATCAACTCCCTTCATGTCGCGGTATGAGGTAGGATGTTGCGGGGCCGTGTTAATGCTATACGCATTAACCTTTATGTTCGGGGCATGCGATTGGGCCCGTGGCGCCATCAATAATTATGTGATATGAATGATGTTTGGATAATGATGTGTTTGAATTAAAAAGTGATCCGTGACCTTAGATACGTATTCCTTATAATGTTTACTCTACTTAACTGTTTATCATTTATTAACGTGCTTGTCCCTATTTGCTGAGTCTATTCCTGGTTTTAAAGCTAGAGTCCGTTAAGTATATATCTTCCTGCTTCAAAATGATTTTCGTATATCTATATATATATATATATATATATATATATATATATATATATATATATATATATATATATATATATATATATATACTAGTAATGTACCCGTGCGATGCACGGTCTATAAATAAAATTTTAATTTACGGTGTTATTGTAATTAACAAAAAAAGAATAGATATATGATAATAAAATTGTAATTTTATTTACAAATGGTTAAAAACTTCTTGGTGAACGACATTCGTCGTAGAAGTACAACTGTTATTAAGATAATTACAAATTAAAATGTTTAAACCTTTAGAATTGCTAACTCTAGATGCAGTAGCATACAATTCGTCATGTACAAAAATTGGTTTCTTCAATAGCAACCCAACATGAGATAGTGTTTGACCTTGACAACATCAGTGGAAATTGTCTCCTTCGAAATTTGAAAGACAATCTTGTATCCGATGGAGTCATAGACATTCTAGGTATCAATACTGAACTACCTATGTTGTACCCAGTCATTATTTTGGCTTCAATCACATGTTCTGACAATCTTGTGATTACCACCCTTGTACTATTGCATAAGCCCAAAGAATTATCAATATTTCACAACAACATTACAGGAGATCCAACTTTGAATATTAATGCATGATTTGGAATCCCCGAACCTCGCAGCCCATTAAGGAATTATGGAGTGTGCACATCTCCAAGAATGCCGCTGTCTGCGTCTGCTCTACACACAGTATCACAACTGAATATAGCTTACTCCCAGCCGTCTCTTGTGTGAAATTTTCTTTGTTCCCTAAGCAAATAGGATAATATGCATTAACCACAATATTATTGTACTTTTTTTTTGAAAATTTTCTGCGGTGCTTCATTAGAAAAATGGTGAAATAATGTCTGGTGGGTGAGTATCCCAGTACATAGTATCAGGTTGCTGATAAGCCGTAGTGGCTAAAGCATGAGCTAAATAATTGTCCGATCTAGAAATATAATTAAAAGAACATGAGTGAAAATAAACGGCAATTTGCCTGCAGCTATCAATGGCATAGCCAACGTAAGAGCGAAACGCAGTGGTTGATGATGTAAGGTAGCGTTGTAGTGTCAAACAATCCGTGTAGATCTCAATATTCTGTTCACCTCGATCCTTTAGCCATGATAAAACTTCCTTACACGCCAAAGCCTCAGCCATAAGTGGTGACGTACAGGCCGGTAGCGGCGCGGTTAGTGCCGAGATATAGGCTCCATCTCCATCTAATAAAACGGCCCCTACAGTTGCATTCCCTGTCTCGTGTAGATATCCCGCATCGACCCTGCATCTTCTCACTGGCGGCACAGAGGATCCGGCGGCGTCGGCAGCACCGCGGCCGGCGGTGGGACTCGCCTGGGCAGCGTGGCGGTTTTCTGTCGGCAGCGTAGCAGTGGCAGTGGCAGCCACGGCTGGGAGGGACTGAGTCCATGCGGTCTTGGCTGCCGCTGCGGCTCTGAGTAGGGACCCCGGGCGTGGTAAAAATGCCTCCCAAACTGCACCATTTCGAGCTTTCCAAATATTGTATAGAATTGATGCTGCATATAACATTCCATCAGAATCTAAAATATTTAGAAGTTCCCCAAACCAAACATGAAAAATATCCGTGACAATATTGGGGATTGTAAGGTTGGATTGATCCCAAATGTTTCTTGCAAAATCACACAAGACTAATGCATGCATTGTATTCTCATGTGATATCCCACACATAGCACAATATGGGTTCACCTCCACCCTCTTTAAAAGCAAGTTCGTAGTTGTAGGCAAAATATCACAAATAGCTCTCCAGAGGAACATTTTCCACTTTGGTGGAATTTTTAGTCTCCATAAAGCTAACCAATTAGTAAAGGGGCCTTGATTATTCTCATAATCTCCCACCAATCGTCTGTACCCGCTTTTCACAGAATATAATCCTCTCGGGTCCCCGTACCAATACCATGCATCATTATAATCCCGGGATACAGGTACTCTCATAATTCTCTCGACATCCGTAGGTTGAAATAAATCTGATAAAAATTTCATTATCCCATGTACCAGTTTGTTGATCTATTAGCCCCACTACTCTGGCCTCTCGTAACTGTATAGGCATCTCTGTTTGTATCATAGGGTCCTGGTCATCCAGTAACAATGGATGGGTCCATATAGATGTAGTTTCCCCATTCCCAATTCTTCGTCTGACCCCACTACAAATTATGCTCTTTGATGCCATTATACTCTGCCAACCAAAACTGGGATTATTTCCTACCTGCGCATCAAAGAAAGTATCCCTGGGAAAATATCGGCTTTTGTAAACACGAGCTACTAAGGAATCAGGCTTAGTGAGCATTCGCCATGCCTGTTTCCCCAACATAGCTAGATTAAATGCACGTAGGTCCTTAAAACCCAATCCACCATACTTCTTAGGAACACATAGCTTGTCCCAAGCCTTCCAGTGAACTCGGTTGTCCGTCCCAGAACCCCACCAATATCTATTCATCGTTCTTTCTATAGCCGTGCATACTGATATAGGTAGCAAAAAAACACTCATTGAGAAGGTAGGCATAGATTGTGCCACACTTTTCAACAGTATTTCTTTCCCTGCCTGAGACAATAGCCTTTTATTCCACGACCCAATTCTTTGGCGTATTTTATCCTCAATATATGCAAAAGCTGCCTTTTTATTCCTACCCACAAACGAAGATAGACCCAAATACTTGCCAAAGTTTGGTGCCTGCTCCACCCCCAAATATTATTGTACTTAATTAGTCTAAAATACTTATAAATATATCTTAAATTAAATGAACAATATATGTATATTAAGACAATTATTTACAAAATGGACTAAAGCTCATTGTCCTAAAATATTCTTGTTTCATCTATCATTTAAATAAAATTTGCAAAAAAAAAAAAAAAAAAGGATAAACACGCAATGCTAGAACTATTGTAGCATTACACGTGTAATCCACTATGACAATAATTTATCACCTCCGTAAGTCTTCATTGCCGGCATCTCATTTCCGATGCGATGCAGCCATTAGCTCCGTTCATCTCATGCTATCTGACTTAGGTGAAAACTTATGTCTGGAGACATATTTCTGCCTCGATTGTTTCAGTGCATGTGTTCTAATTCTGGTAGTATCGATGATCTTAGAAGCACAATTGTTCGTTAGAGATAAGTCTTTCTTCCCCGAATCTCTTATTTTTTTAGTCTATTGTACTGTAATCTTCATTTAGCAAATTTTTCCATTACAGTGACGAAGAAATCTAGTTTTCAGTATTCTATTCTGAACAATCGCTAGAAGATTAATATATTAATTGTGAAATTTTAGAATATATTAATTACGCTAAGTTTTCTTGAATTTGTAACTGAAGTGCATGTTCAAATTTCAGAATCAACATGGTTGAATATACTAATGGATGGAGTCTCTGCAATGATCTTCAGAGATTAACAGAGAAAAAAAGAAATAGGAAGAGAGAAGGGAGAGAAATTGGGGTTGAGAAAGAAGAAAGGAGAGAGTGAAGTGTATTCTGATTACTTTTAGCATAAAAAATCCATCCATACAACCCCTTCACTAAATAAGCAAGGCATTACAGCTATCCAAGCTAACTCCTAAACTTCCGGATCTCATACAATAGCTGGAAAGGAAATAACAAACATAACTATCAAAACGTCGTCGTCTGATGTGTGTTTTAACTTATTCCAACTGCTGCCCGAACGACGTCGTCTGAGGCTTCTTCAATTCGTTATTCAACCACCATCATCCAACGGCGTCGTTTGGGTCCCCTTCTCAACTGTCTTTCTGTTCATCTTAATTCTTCCCTTCCTTCTTCTACTTGCCTTAGTAGATTCATCGAGCTCACACTCAAGGGTCGTTACAGTCTCTACAACATTCAGTGAGAATTTCTAACCCTAATACCTTTGGGCCACAAAATATTCTAAGTATGCTATCTTGTTCATAACTCAGGTATTTGATGCTTGGTTCGCAATATTACTGTAAATACATACAATTTCTAATTTGCCTAAAATTGGACAATTCTTTATCTGATGACGGAGTTGGTAGAAGGATTTCAGTTGTATGTATTAGCTACCCTAATTAAAGTAGAACTCGTTAACATCTTCATTAGCTCTGAACTTGCTCATCCTCTTCTTAATGTGTTGTTAGTAAAGTTCTCTGTGAGGGGATCTTATGTGGATTTATATGGGGGTATTCTGTATTGGAAGACTAAGGGACCATTTATTGATAATCTGTTCACCTTCCTAGATTAGTTTAGGAAACGATCTTTATGTTTTATCATAAATCCATATTATAAATGAGATGGATGAGTATTAAGTTGTTTTAATATATTTGTATTTAATGACTGATCAGTTAGACAGGAATTACTTTTTAAAATTACTGAGCATATGTTTCTTCTCAAACTTATTGACCATATGCTTGATTTGAGCAAATGATGATACCATAATCTGATGCAAAATACATCAGGAACTACGTGAAGGATATATATTAGCAAAATACATTAGGAAATTCATCAAATTATATTACAGAAGTATTTTAAAAAATCATATCCTTTCACAGAACTATTATATTGGGTATTAGCTTATGTAGGTAACTTTAAAAATTTCTTTGGACTTGATTATGTGCTTTTGCCTGCCAGTCTCAAGGTGTCTAAGAATAGTCTTTAATTCTGACTTGTATATGTGATTCTGATGAGTCAATTCTTTCCTGCAAAAGGAAAAAAAAAAAAAAAAAAAAAAAAAAAAAAGAATACAAAGATAGCAAATGTAAACCAAATCCTTCATAGCTCAATTTAGGAGTGCCACCAGGCACAATTGTTCAACAACCAAACCACTTAACCACCATAAAAAATTAATGTCTTTGGAACCACACACGATCAAGAAACATCAACCAAACCCACTAATCTGTCTTTTCAACTTTTAACAATACTTCCTTCATCTTTTTGGACCCCTTAGATGAAGAGAAGTCATCGAGCAAGCATCTCTTCACAGTTTCTGAATCAGTGCCAACATCAGCCGTTAGTGTACCAAGGGGTGCAACAGGGCTTTCAACCTCTTCACTCCAAAATCCCTGTAAAAAGACAGTATTAGAAACTTAGTGTCTTCCAATAATTTATTTGCCAAATAAATATTTTGATGATTTAATGTTTTTACCTCATCAAGCTCATTGTCATCATCACTTTGGTGAACTTCTGGAGTCAGATCCTTATCCTGTGCGTAAGAAGCTATGGGCAATGTTCCAACACCAAATTTTGATCATTCAAAATAAAGGCATTTTGAAAATTGGCACACTACTCTTTCCTTACTGCAATCCTGAACATCGTAGACATTCCAACCAATGCCATAATCTCTTATGGTGGTTTTGCCTGAAACTTTTGCCCAAGTCAGATCCTAAGATGTCAAGAAAATAGAGAGACAGAAAAAAAGAAACTTGGTTGTTTCAACAAACAATTAATATACCTGGTTGTGTTTCTCTACCAGTTTTGTTGCTTGCAGATGACCCTTTTCATACAACTCTGACCTTGATTGCGCTTCTTGTTATGAAGGTTGACAAATTACGTCCCAGAATGAATAGACCCATGATGGAGATAAGACAAAAGCGCACAATAAGATACTGGTATATAGAGTGTTTGTATCCGATATTTATGATGTATATATAGATTGTAGTTGATAGAACCGAAGAGTTGGGTACTGATATGCTTGCCATAAGCTTTTAATGGCCGTTTATGGCTAAAGCTTCGATAGACTAAACGGTTTAGATGCACATTTATACTGCTGTAAAAATCCTAGACCTTCGGGATTCTCCAAAAAAAAGTAGGCGGTGGAATTAATATTTTTATTAACCCAATGCTGTAACAAATAGGATGATAAAATTTCATATGCAATACCCTAAACGGCGCCGTTCTTTATAGGCGGGAACTTTTGGCCTTTGAGCATTTACTGCTTCTTACCGCTATTTTATATTAGAGGATATATATATATATATATATATATATATATATATATATATATATATATATATATATATATATATAAAATGTATTTCAACGCGTTGGAGTGGGTTACCGGCATCATTCGCTGAACAGATATATTTGGCTTTCAGGCACAAATGATTAGCTCCTAGAGCGCGCTAGAAGAACTTGGAGTAGATAGATAGTTTTCCTTTTTGGCCTGCGTGCCACGATGATGTATTGAGGATAATTCGTTAGTTTAGCCTGTGCATCTGAGTTCTCCAGCTCAGATGTGGCATAGCACCCCGCACCCTTATGTTTAGTAATACTCTGTTTTGGGATTTAATGAGAATTTACCTTTATTATATAAGTTTTAAAAGTTTCAAAATTTCGGGGTGTTACACCCATCCTTAGCCCAATAAGGATGGATACCCCCATGTAGAGCTCTACATTTTTGCAGGGGCACCCATTTTGTTCCCAAACTAAGCAATAGGCAAAACCCTCAAGGCAAAAGAAAGTCCACCTACCACTACAAAATGGTTTTACGAAAGACCCTTTATACTTAAGCCAAGAGCAATAGGACAAGAGAGCCCACCCTCTAGGCCAAGGCTGACGAAGCCCGTGCAGAGCTCTGCATTTTACCGGGTAAGTCTTTTTGTGCCTCGCACTAGAGCAATGGGCCAAGGCATCACCAACCTTCCCACCTTTGCAAAATTCCATTTTTTCCTTTCTACTCTTTTTTTTTTTTTTTTTTTTTTTCAATTTCATTCATCTCTTCTTTTTCATTTTCATTCCCCTTTTCAATTCATACTTTCCATTCCAATTCTTTTTTTTCCAAAATTCTTTTCCCTTCCATTCATCATACCCAGCCCAGGCACCAATCAGCCCCCCCCCCTCCCCCCCCCCCCCCCCAAGCCTTGCCGTTTCTGGTATAGAGGAAGGATCACCACATCTAGACCTTCACCAACCCAACATGATCAGCATTGTTTAAGGGGTCAGGGAATAAGAAGCATTTTTAGCAGCCTGCTCATTTGAAACCAAAGCCAGAATGACCTGCTTCTTAATCCCTTACCCTTAGATTAGGTCACCTCTTTCGAGATCTGGCTAACAACCTGGTGCACAGTCACAACACTAAGCAAGACAACATAAATCTACAACAAAGAAGCCCATCAGGTGCAGCAAACACCTTCCTTAGGCAAACACAAAAACCCTCAGATACAGCAAGTATCTTCGTCAGGCTACTGCTAAACACATTCCCATCTGCTTTGCACTTCTGCTTTTAGGGCCTAGGACAACTGCTCTATTGCAGCAGCCACAACATAGTTGTAAAACCCTCAGATGCCTCCAACTGCCAGCATCCTCCTTAGGACCAGCATGAATCTCAACACCAGGGTCCATGACCTTGTTGGATGAGCTGAGAGCCTGCACCATGTCAATCCCAGGCAAAATGGTGAAATGGGGGAAGCCTTCTAGGGCCAAGATAAAAGCAAAGTTCTTTGGGAGAGCAGCTGGCCTTGCAAAGATCACATTGAGACCCCTGCACCTCCTTTGCAAGCTTTGAGCAATACAGTTAACCATGGGATCATACATCAGCCATCTGATCTTCAAGGCTGCAGGTTCTAGCACATCAGAGACCCATCTTCTACTAGTTTCAACCTCCACTTGATATATTTTCTTGATTCTACACCACTCCCAAAAGTCTCTGATCACCTGTTCTATGAGATTTACAATACCTGAGTACACTCCAGCCAACACAAACTCCCACTGAGCATTTCTGATGAAAAAACTGCAGCCCCCCTCCTTTATGGCAATGTTGATTTTAATCCAGCCTCTTGGGGTTTTGTTCCATCTCATCCCTCTTACAATTCTAGAACACCCAAAGCCCCAGCATTCTTTAGAATATGCTTCCAGTTTGGGAGGAAAGGTTCCCATGCAGGCCATCTTCTCATGATACAGTCAGCCATTTCTCTTGCCACCTTGAAGATGACTCTAGCAGCAGATGGTCTCTCACTGCCGTACTTGCACTGATTCAAGTGTACCCATAGTTCCCAAATTATGATGACAGGCAACCTCTCAGCTAAGGAATTGGACTAACCTGTTTTTAGTTTTTTCCGCTCAACCAATCATAACATATTTTTCTTATCCCCCGATCTGTAACCCCAATCTCGGAGATTTTGCAAAATATGACCACACTCCTGTAGCTATTTCACCACTACAGAACACATGTTGCAGATCACCTCCTCCAGGCAAAACACAGTAAGAGCATTTTGACGCCCTTTGATAACCAAACTTCATCATCTTGTCATCTGTGGGGATTTTTCCTTTAAAGACCCTCCAAGTTAAAAATCAAGCCTTCCATAGAATGTGCATAGCCCATATTTCCTTATACCAAAATTACATTCTCTCATTCTGCTCAACATTATGGCTCCCCAACATCTTTTTTGCTGATGCCAGAGAGAATTCTCCATCCCTGGAAGGTTTCCATTTTCCCCTGTCCTTCACCTCCTACCTCAACCTTATTCCAATCAGGTCTGTGTGCATTTGACCATTAATTGCGTCCATCTTTCATCTTCCCCCTTCCCAGAGGCCACTCAGCACTTGCTTGGACTGGGACTTTCCTCTCACATTATAGAGAAAGGCCAAAGCTCCCCTTCCAATCCAGTAGTCCCACCACAGGTTCAGCTCACCCCTTCCCACCTCCCAAACTATTTCCTTTTCCATTTTATCTCTTGCCTCCAGCATCTTTCTCCAAATGTGTGAGTCCCCATACTGCCAGGATCTGCACACAGGATGGGTTCTCACACAATACTTTGCTCTCAGGAACTCCCTCCATAGTTAATCCTTTGTTCGGAAGTTCCACCACAGCTTTGCCCCAGCTGCTTCTGCAATTAACTTCAAACTTGTAAAT